TACCTGCCTCTATCGATTCACTTTAGACAGAATCACTGAAAGGGGTCTACATGGCTGAGGGGCTATAAAGTATATGCCATATAAATCCCTATGGTATTTGTGCAATTGAGTAATGGGGGAGGTCATGAACTACTGACAACCTTTTATGAGATTATTAAGGGCCATAGAGATCCACAGGGCTACACACACACTATTGTACAGCATATACTGCTCAAGGCACATTACTGTAACAGCACTGTGTACACACTCAGTGTACCATGTCCGCTGAAATTACCCTATAGGTTTCCATTTCATTATCCTGTTCAATAACTAATTTAGAATTGACACAATTACTGCAATCCCCAAGTCTGAATATTGCTAGTTTGCATTGCCTAAGAGTAAACAATACTCAGTGGAAATAAGGATACTTTATCAGGAAGCAGTAATCCGAAAATAGAATATTGTAAGGCAAATAAATTATATTTGCAATAAAAATACATTTACTCAGCTGTATACACAATGGCCCAGAGGTACTTTCACAATCGCAAAAGGAAAATCTAATCTATAGTTACACAATAATAGTAACTGACACCATTTCTTATCTGCCTTTATTTTTAGCAATTTGTGAAAATTAACTTTACAGATATATTACGTAATAAGATTAGGTAAACAGTTGCAATAGTAACCTCTTTCTGTCTCAGGTTCATGTAACTGCTTGGGTGGTTTTGAAATCCAAATACACCTGTAATATACCGTGAGGGGAAAAAAGTATTTGATCCCCTGCTGATTTTGTACGTTTGCCCAATGACAAAGAAATACTTTTAATTTTAATGGTAGGTTTATTTAAACAGTGAGAGACAGAATAACAACAACAAAAAATCCTGAAAAACGCATGTCAAAAATGTTATAAATTGATTTGCATTTTAATGAGGGAAATAAGTATTTGACCCCTCTGCAAAACATGATTTAGTACTTGGTGGCAAAACCCTTGTTGGCAATCACAGTGGTCAGACGTTTCTTGTAGTTGGCCACCAGGTTTGCACACATCTCAGGAGGGATTTTGTCCCACTCCTCTTTGCAGATCTTCTCCAAGTCATTAAGGTTTCGAGGCTAACATTTGGCAACTCGAACCTTCAGCTCCCTCCACAGATTTCCTATGGGATTAAGGTCGGGAGACTGGCTAGGCCACTCCAGGACCTTAATGTACTTCTTCTTGAGCCACTCCTTTGTTGCTTTGGCCGTGTGTTTTGGGTCATTGTAATGCTGGAATACCCATCCACGACCCATTTTCAATGCCCTGGCTGAGGGAAGGAGGTTCTCACCCAAGATTTGACGGTACATGGCCCCGTCCATCGTCCCTTTGATGCGGTGAAGTTGTCCTGTCCCCTTAGCAGAAAAACACCCCCAAAGCATAATGTTTCCACCTCCATGTTTGACGGTGGGGATGGTGTTCTTGGGGTCATAGGCAGCATTCCTCCTCCTCCAAACACGGCGAGTTGAGTTGATGCCAAAGAGCTCCATTTTGGTCTCATCTGACCACAACACTTTCACCCAGTTCTCCTCCGCATCAAATCTTGGGTGAGAACCTCCTTCCCTCAGCCAGGGCATTGAAAATGGGTCGTGGATGGGTATTCCAGCATGACAATGACCCAAAACACACGGCCAAGGCAACAAAGGAGTGGTTCAAGAAGAAGCACATTAAGGTCCTGGAGTGGCCTAGCCAGTCTCCAGACCTTAATCCCATAGAAAATCTGTGGAGGGAGCTGAAGGTTTGAGTTGCCAAACGTCAGACTCGAAACCTTAATGACTTGGAGAAGATCTGCAAAGAGGATTGGGACAAAATCCCTCCTGAGATGTGTGCAAACCTGGTGGCCAACAACAAGAAACGTCTGACCTCTGTGATTGCCAACAAGGGTTTTGCCACCAAGTACTAAGTCATGTTTTGCAGAGGGGTCAAATACTTATTTCCCTCATTAAAATGCAAATCAATTTATAACATTTTTGACATGCGTCTTTCAGGATTTTTTTGTTGTTATTCTGTCTCTCACTGTTCAAATAAACCTACCATTAAAATTATAGGCCGATCATGTCTTTGTCAGTGCGCAAACGTACAAAATCAGCAGGGGATCAAATACTTGTTTCCCTCACTGTAGCTAAGAAAACTACAAATATAAGCTTTAGTAGTTTAGCATTAGCTAGCTAGGTTGATGCAATCATGCAGCCACAAGCTAACGTTAATTATATAGACTCACTAACCAGGTATCCATCCCACCTTTTTATGTGAGCAAAGTACATGTGGGTTAAAAAAAATGCCATGACAGTTTTCGGGAAAACTTTACAATTGTCGAGAAAACAAAATACTCTAGACAAGGTTGGATCTTTTTGTGTCGATAAAATTAATTCTGCAAGAAATGTCGATGGAAGCGCTTTTATGCGCAAATATTGCTATATTAACCATCATATCGAAGTAAACATGGAGTCACGCGATGACATGTTGTGTGGTCCTCCCACTACGACTCGCCAGGAAAGCATGCAGTTTATAAGGCTACACAGGGTAAAGAAGATGAAACTATCTGTTGCTGCTACCAAAGACCAAGGGATTCTGAAGTTCCTGAAAATGTTAGTCAGCCAGTTTGTTAGTCCATTAATGTTAGCATATTCTTTTATTTACACTGCTGGTGATTATTCACAAATGTTTGTGGTGAAAATGTCACTGTCTTAAAAGTAAAAAACCTACAAATTCCACCACAGAGCAGTCTAAACAGACAATATGAACACGTTTGTCCAACCATAACAGTTAAATGGCTAATGCATTTTTTTATTAAATGTTTTGGACATAATAGACAAAAAAAACAGGAAATCAGCTCCAAGTGATTTTAATTTAAGAAAGAAACGTGATCGTATACAAATGTAAGCAAGGTTTGACATTGTTATGTTTTAGTCAAACATTATATCGATTTCGGCTTCTTGAGGTCAATTTGCTGTCTACAAATTATTTGTAATTATGTTCCGGACCCCCGAATCATCCGCTCAAGAAAAAATAATCCCGCAGCTAAATCTAGTTGATGATCCCTGGTGTATAGTGTTAAATGAACCCTTGCAACGAACAACCATATGTGTGTTTAGAAAGATTCTGATATTGTCAAATATTTATCTTTTTTTATGTGTATGTAACATCAAAAGTGTAATTATTGAAAGATAATTTCATCACACTTCTCTCTTTCAATTATAGTTGTGTCACGTTCGTTGAATGACGGGTCAGACCAAGGCGCAGCGTGATATACGTACATGTTTATTTTAACGATTAAACACACGACAAAACAACAACGGAAACGAAACGTGAAGTCCAAGGTAGCGCGCGCGCGCACAAAACACACACCACACACACACACACACACACACACACACACACACACACACACACACACACACACACACACACACACACACACACACACACACACACACACACACACACACACACACACACACACACACACACACACACACACACACACACACACACACACACACCATACCATACCTTACAAGGAACAAGATCCCACAACTAGACAGTGCCAATAGGCTGCTTAAGTATGGTCCCCAATCAGAGACAACGAGCGACAGCTGCCTCTGATTGGGAACCACACCGGCCAACATAGAACTAGACATACTAGATCCTCATACATAGAACAAGCACAACAAGGAATATACACACCCTGACTCAACATATAAGCGTCCCCTGAGTCAGGGCGTGACAAGTTGCTAGTTTTTTATTAAATATTTCAGTATTTTCCATACTTTTTATATTGATTCATAAAATCTAAATTTTTTTCTTCAAAAAGCACTTAAATGGTTCTTCGTCTATAGGATTAAAATGTAACCCTGCCTTACATAAAGCTTACAGAATTAATTGCAGAAGAGCACTGCAGTCAGATGAACAGATAATAGGTTGTGACAGAATTAAAATTATTTTCTACATTGAAACCTGTCTGTCTTTTTTAGTTTTAAAAGTCTACTGCTTAACATTGTGAGTGTATATATATTATAATATTTAAAGACATTGTAAGCATAACACTCAGCCCTGCTATAGTACTTCATTAAACTACAAAGTATGTTGTCCATTGAAGTTGTTGTCTCTGGATCTTTTGATATCAGATTCAGAATGAATAATAACAGGGTTTGTGGTAGTTTGAAAGGTCCACCTTAGGCCAGGAGTGTTTCCAATTCACATGACCTGACAAGAAAAAACCCAGCCCTATAGTCATAGTACAGATGAAAAAGGAAGCTATCTATAATTATAATATTTTGTCATAGCCTATGAATAGGACCCAGAGTTTTACCTGACCAGGTCATGAGATCAGGAAAAACTCCAGGCCCCAGAAAAGACATGTATGAATTTTGCCACCACTTTTCAACCCACGTAAACTACCTCTGGCATTAAAAGTCTGTCCACGAGAGATTAATGTGTTTGACCCAAACCTACAAAGCTTATTCACATTTACATAAAAACAATTTTATAGCAAATCTGGACCTAAAATTATTGGTCCATTTATTATCAAGAAATCAAGTTGCTATTGTATCAATAAGAAAAACAATGTCATTACTTTGTGGAAATGTCAGTAGGCTTTTTAGTGATGACTTGGTAAAAGTGATAAGCTATTACAATGCCAGTTAGTATTAGCTATCTATTTAAAGTGCAGAAGTTTCAACCAGGCACATCATTGTTTCCCTCAACATATAAGGAGATATAATGGAAACATAAGGAAAACATAATAACAATCGAAACATATCCCTCAGAAAGCTTATAAAGAAAAAAAACTATTTACACAAAAATGTATGCACGCATGACTGTAAGTCGCTTTGGATAAAAGCGTCTGCTAAATGGCATATTATTATTATTATATTATATTATTATTATTTCTCATCTCAACATGTTGTTAGTGGGCAGCCCGCATGCAGATGCTTAGAGTCAGTGCACTTTTGCGGTACAGTATGATCGTGCCCGGCCTGATGGCTGCTCAGCAGTTTGTAGAAGGAAGGGTCATTGTTTTGGCGAACTCCTCGTAGTGGACACGTCCGTCTGGTCCCACACCAGTCTCTTTCAGCAGCTCGTCAACTGCAGGGAAGTGAGAAGATGACGCCCACACAACTTAATTATAACTCATCGAATCAGTCATTTCATCACTGGTCTTTGAATGTTTTAAGACATTTTATGACTACTGGTATACAATCTCTGTCATACATATGTCAAATGTCAAGTGTTTTTCAAACAGAATATACAGTTTGGGTGTAATAAAGTAACAAAGTAATTCAATTACATTTACTACCATTGAAATGTTGTTAAGTTGGTACAATAATGCACACCCGTGATTCTGGATGTGTGGGGTTTGAACAAACAAACACAATGCACATACATACACTCTACACTCTCTCGTATACATGTGGCATGCGTGTTTATGACCCTTACCTTCTTTATCAGTGAGCTTCTCTCCCAGCCCGGTGAGCTTGGCCCGGAGCTCCGAGGCTAGGATGTAGCCCTTCTTCTGCTTGTCCGTCATCCTCATGGCCTCCAGGATCTCTGCTCTGGGATCCTCCTGCTGGATCTGCTGGTGCATCATGGTCAGGAAGGTGGAGAAGTCCAGCTCTCCGCCCTTATCTAGTGGAACGGAGGGAGAGTGGTTGATTGAATGATCGATCGAATGATTGGTTGAATATGAAATTGATTGATTGTAAGGGATAGTTTAGCAATGACAAGATATTGAAAGACGGACAGCCAGGCGGACGGGCAGACAGACAGATAGACAGACACATAGACAGACAGATTGACTGACCGACCGACAGACAGACATGCGTACCTATCTTGGAGATTTGCAGGTGTCTGTCCACCTCAATGAAAGTGGGGCTGACCCCCAGGCAGCGCATAACTATAATCAGGTCCTTGCCCTCAATTTTACCCTTGTGCTTCTTGTCATAGAGTGAAAAGCATTCCTTAAATTCTGTGAGAAAGAAGAGGTTGTCACATTTCCACAGCTCTTCTAGGTATGTCTATGTAGGCTTCTAATGGCTATTCCCCTGAGGAGATCAAACCATAGAAATGGAATGAATAGAACGGACATCCCCATACAGGTTAATTATGCCATAATAAAATGGACTGTCGGACATTTTAAGTGTACCCATGAGTTTACCTGTCAAATGTCCATGGTCAGAGGTTTCAAGACCGTTCTAATCCTTCTAATTCAATAGGTTTAGTTTAGTTTACTAAGATCACAATTAGCTACTGCACATTCCTTGGGTTCACATAAAATGTACAAATACAGTGTATTCAGACCCCTTGACTTTTTCCACATTTTGTTACGTTACAGCCTTATTCTAAAGTTGATTAAATCGTTTTTTTCCCTCATCAATCTACACACAATACCCCTTAATGACGAAGCAAAAACACGTTTTTTATTTTTTTGCAAATGTATAAAATAAAAAAATCTGAAATATTATATTTACATAAGTATTCAGACCATTTACTCAGTACTTTGCACCTTTGGAAGCGAGTACAGCCTCAAGTCTTCTTGGGTATGACGCTACAAGCTTGGCACACATGTATTTGGGGAGTTTCTCCCATTCTTCTCTGCAGATCCTCTCAAGCTCTGTCAGGTTGGATGGGGAGCGTCGCTGCACGGCTATTTTCAGGTCTGTACAGAGATGTTCGATCAGTTTCAAGTCCTGGGTCTGGCTGGGCCACTCAAGGACATTCAGAGACTTGTCCCGAAGCCACTCCTGTGTTGTCTTGGCTGTGTGCTTAGGGTCGTTGTCCTGATGGAAGGTGAACCTTCGCCCCAGTCTGAGGTCCTGAGCGCTCTGGAGCAAGTTTTCATCAAGGATCTCTCTTTAATTTGCTCCGTTCATCTTTCCCTCGATCCTGAATAGTCTCTCAGTCACTGCCGCTGATAAACATCCACACAGCATGATGCTGCCACCACCACGCTCCACCATAGGGATGGTGCCAGGCTTCCTCCAGACGTGACGCTTGGCATTCAGGCCAAAGAGTTCAATCTTGGTTTCATCAGATCAGAGAATCTTGTTTCTCATGGTCTGAGAGTCCTTTAGGTGCCTTTTGGCAAACTCCAAGTGGGCTGTCATGTGCCTTTTACTGAGGAGTGGATGCCGTCTGGCCACTCTACCATAAAGGCCTGATTGGTGGAGTGCTGCAGAGATGATTGTCCTTCTGGAAGGTTCTCCCATCTCCACAGAGGAACTCCCTGACCAAGGCCCTTCTCCCCCGATTGCTCAGTTTGGCCGGGCAGCCAGCTCTAGGAAAGGTCTTGGTGCTTCCAAACTTCTTCCATTGAAGAATGATGGAGGCCACTGTGTTTTTGAGGACCTTCAATGCTGCAGACATTTTTTGGTACCCTTCCCCAGATCTGTGCCTTGACACAATCCTGTCTCGGAGCTCTACAGACAATTCCTTCGACCTCAGGCTTGGTTTTTGCTCTGACATGCACTGTCAACTGTGGGACCTTATATAGACAGGTGTGTGCCTTTCCAAATCATGTCCAATCAATTGAATGTACCACAGGTGGACTCCAATCAAGTTGTAGAAACATCTCAAGGATGATAAATGGAAACAGGATGCACCTGAGCTCAATTTCGAGTCTCATAGCAAAGGGTCTGAATACTTATGTAAATAAGGTATTTCTATTTTTATATAAATAAATGTTTTCACTTTGTCATCATGGGGTATTGTGTGTAGATTTATGAGGCTTTTTATTTTATTTAATTCATTTTAGAATAAGGCTGTAACATAACAAAATGTGGAAAAAGTCAAGGGGTCTGAATAATTTCCGAATGCACTGTAAGTACAGAACAACATAAGATATTACCTTACATTTTAAATAAAAAATAGGAGTTAAATATTAAGAACACCTTTCTAATACTGAGAAAAAAAATTGTAAATAATGTATTGTGTCATTTTGGATTAACTTTTATTGGAAATAAGAATAGAATATGTTTCTAAACACTTCTACACTAATATGGATGCTACCATGATTATGGATAGTCCTGAATGAATCGTGAATAATGAGTGAGAAAGTTACAGACGTACAAATATCAACCCCCCCCCCCCCAAAAAAAAAATGCTAACCTCCCCTGTTATTGTAATGGTGAGAGGTTAGCATGTCTTGGGGGTATGATATTTGTACATCTGTAACTTTCTCATTCATCATTATTCACGATCCATTCAGGATTATTCGTAATCATGGTAGCATCCACATTAATGTAGAAGTATTTAGAAACATATTCTATTCTTATTTATAATAAAAGTGACTCCAAAATGACACAATACATTATTTACCATTCATTTCTATTGAGCACAAAATCATCTGAAACACAATCAAAACAAACAGCAAATGCATCCAACAAATGTGTAAAGTTTCAAGCTTGATGTAGTTATTGCGTGCTATGAATAAGGGATCAAATACTTAACTTTGTACTACTTTAATACACATATAAGTGAATTTGTCCCAATACTTTTGGCCACCTAAAATGAAGAGACTATGTACAAAAAGTGCTGTAATTTCTAAACGGTTCACCTGATATGGATGAAAATACCCTCAAATTGAAGCTGACAGTCAAAAATTGAAGCTGACAGTCTGCACTTAACAGTCTGACAGTCTAACCCCATAGTCATTGTACATTTCAAATCCAAAGTGCTGGAGTACAGAGCCAAAACAACAACACATGTGTCACTGTCCCAATACTTTTGGAGCTCACTGTACAGATTCATATTGTTATATACAGTACAGTTAAATTACAAATGTAGAAAGAGCAGCGGCGCTGTGATAGAATATGTTTGTTTTTTATCCGTTTTTTAAAGCTAAACTTGCTGTTTGCCTGGGTACTGTGAAAAAACCCATAATGGGGTATGTATGACTGTTTGAAGTGTATGCAAATAGATTATACATGTGGTTAGGCATTTTCAACACACACATTTTTTTTTTAAAGACCAGAAGAGAAGTAGTCCATTTCTCCTTAACCCTCAACCATGAAAGACTATAATGCATGTTGTTGATGTTAGTTGTGTGTGCAGTTAAGGGTAAGGTGTGCTGTTAAACTCACTGTGTTAAGCATAAAGCCCATTTATCTCACAGACTGAACTAGTAGATTAAGACACCACGGTGCCGGCGTGAGACAAGGCTCGGAAAACGTACCTCAATCCAGGGATGACAAATGCGTTGTACTCCGAATTGTCCCATTATCCCAATTGCTACACTGAGAAAATTGAGCGACAGCTAAAAAACTAACAGTCGTTCAATCTTCTCTGTGTAACAGTTGTGATAATGGGACAATTCAGAGTACAACGCATTTCTCATCCCTGGATTGAGGTACGTTTTCCGAGCCATATTTTGCGCCGGCTCCCCGATGTCTTAATCTACACAGGAAGCCTGTCCAACCTTAGTGCAGCTGTAAGCAAGCCGGTCTGATCTGCTGGCTAAGACTGAACTAGAGCATTATACTCTTCATTGGGAGATACAGGTCAGTCTTAATCGAGACAGTATCTGCAGTCACCGCTCATTAATCTTTGATGAGGGATTACAGCCGTCAGGATTTGCTGCGATCACACAGAGGAGAGCATAGGCTGCCTACTGAAAGGCAAGCACAGAAGGGCCATTTAACTATATATGGGTTGCATGGTGCACTGAATACTAGCCCTTGATCATGACTCTCAGTTCCATTACATTACATATAAGAGTCATTGGACAAAGGCGTCTTCTGTAGGGGGGAGTTTTGTTAAGAGCCCCAACGCTGGGTCTGAACGTTAACATGCATCGTTTGTGGTACGGTTTTGGAAGCACAAGGACCTTATCTTTCATATCAGGTTAAATTGATACACACCTTTATAAGGTTAGGGTCAGTGTTCCCACACAGCCATATCTTCATGTTACAGCGCATGTTTACGGAAGACAGAGGAACAACCTGTGCTAACTAGCTATCTAGCATGCTCCAAACACCTGTGTGTAACAGAAACGTGTCGTCACTGAAAAATACTGTCGGCTGCAACTGTGATAAAGCCGGTTAAAATAGTACGTGTATATTTTGCATTTGTGAAATTATTTTGATGTGATATGAAAATAAAGGCCTTTATGTTTCTAGAACCGTATTGCAATCGAGAATCGATTCATGTGGCGCAGTGGTCTAAGGCACTGCATCGCAGTGTTAGCTGTGCCACTAGAGATCCTGGTTCGAATCCAGGCTCTGTCGTAGCTGGCCGCGACTGGGAGACCCATGAGGCGGCGCACAAGTCGTCCAGGGTAGGGGAGGGAATGGCCGGCAGGGATGTAGCTCAGTTGGTAGAGCATGGCGTTTGCAACGCCAGGGTTGTGTATTTGATTCCCACGGGGGGCCAGTATGAAAACTAAAAAAATTATGTATGCACTCACTAACTGTAAGTCACTCTGGATAAGAGTGTCTGCTAAATATTTGGCTGTTTTGGATGCCAGTCAGTCTACCTCTGAAAATAACATTAGGACCTTAAGGGGTAAAGGTAGGCACCTTAAGACTACATCTTGGGCTAGGTGCATACATGATGCATGATAGCACCAATCAGATGCTTTCAAGATATATTGGTATACATAAACTAGTCCTCCACAGTCTGTAATATCCTATTAAAAATATTGTTGAACAGTTTTATGATCGACATTTGACAACAAAACTATCAAAAGACTGGTGATATAAGTGATTCATTGTGTGTGTCTTCTCAACAGGAACGTTGACACAAATGGGGTGCATTGTGTTGTGGCAGGCACACGGAAAATTACGTGGAATAGAAGTCTGTTCACATCAACATCCAGCAATAAGAAGTAGTCCTGGAATGTAGGCTTCTGTGAAATTGTAGTAGTTTTCATCTTATTTGCCAATTTATTGAGTATCGATCAGAGACTATCCTAAGCCCAATCATCAAGATAGTGGACATTTTCAAACAGTAACGCAATGTAAAACGATTATAAATAGGTTGTGCGTACCAGGAATTAATTTAAATGAATACCCACGATTATTTCGACATGTGATTAACAATCGTGCCTTGTGCCGTACTCGCCTAAAATTATCACCGTTATCCAATTCAACATATATGCACACAGCCTAACGCGCCTTACCATTTATTTGGTCTTGAGTCAGGAACTTTGCCTGTAACAAAAGAAGAGAAGCACGTAACTTTTACACGCAAGTAACTATTTCTAGTGTAGGCTACATCTAACTATTAGCCGACTATTGTACATAACGATTTCACTGGAATAACTTCCTTACCATTGTGGTTACGCTCAGTCAGTGCTCCTAGACACACTCGACGTGTCAGGTCCGCTTGTTTTACCTGCGTGAGTAACCTTTATTTTGTAGTTTGCGATATGTTGCCATGCGATATGTTGCCAGTGTTGCCATGAGCACACGGTGAACTAGACACCACACCAACTATAGGCTACTATGCTATTTATCTCCGATCACCATGAAACGGTCGGTCACAATAAAGGCACAATCCTTAATTTGTGTTTTAGCCGAAAGGCAGACTTGACCCACCGCTTGGTTTGCTGTAGGGGTGTAGAAATGTAGCCTAGCCTACTACTAAGTTCGTAAATGGGGAAATACAGTATGTGTAGGGGAGAGCCGGGATGAAAGTAACACCGGGTGGAACTAACACGCCCATTTCCTCTGGTAAACAGAAGCTAAAATTATGTAGTGAAGTCAGCACATTCCTAATGTAGAGGATGAGCATGTTTCGCAGAGTTCATTTTCAAAAAGGGATTTTAACCGATGTAAGTAACGGACCCGGAAGTGCTTTTCGGTTGTAGAGTTGTGTTTAGTTGTTTAAGGTTCCAAACATGTCATTTTCTTAACACATCTAGAGACTAAATGACAGCATAGGTTTCCAGTATCATGCTAGCTAGTCTTAGTTGTTAGCCTAGGAGAAGTTCCAGGAGAGACGGGTGGGACAAAAGTAAGACAACATTAACTCATGACCTGGAATAAAATAAAATAAAGTTTAAGCACAGGCCATTGTCTCCTCTAGTTCAGATTGCTTTTAGAATGTTAGCACAATATCAAATCAAATTGTATTTGTCACATGCGCCGAATACAGCAGGTCTAGACCTTACCGTGAAATGCTTACAAGCACCCAGGGGAACAGACACATCCAACTGACTGGCATTGCCTTCTGCCTGGATTCAGCCCACTGTCTCCAGTTATTGTATTTAGTGGAACATGTGACCTGTCTTCTCTTCTGGTAATGTCTCACCAAACTTGCTCTAGGCCTCATTATCCATGATATGGCACTATGGCACTATACAGGTTATTATTATATTATGCCACACCCTTTGTGTGTGTGTGTTGTTTTAGTTGTGTGTATCTCTACAGCTTATACCTCCAACACCATGTACATCCAGGTTGTTGAGGTGGACATAGGCGAGTCGTCTAAGTTCATGGGGGTCCATATAAGAAGCTGAATACACTACCTTACATGTTTTATGTGGGTTAAGGTGCATGTTTTATATGTGTGAGCTTGTCTTATCTCTGGTGTACTGTGTGATCTTAGGAATGCTTCCACTAATCCCCATCTTTCTTTCTCTCTGTGCCTGAGGACACCCTGGCCTGATGACTCCTGGCTGTGCTTGTCTCCTTCTGGTCATGCTGCCTATCCCATGCTGCTAACTCCCTGGCGTGCCCGGACTGATCCCTGACTACCATGCCACTTACCCACCTCACCCACATACTGTACCTTGACTTCCTAAAGCATGAAAAGCCATCTGACCTTACAGTCTTGGAAGTGTTTGTGCACTGTCATTTAATAAACCTGTAAACAATACAATCATTACATTCATTGCATATTGCATCTCGGGTGAAAAATACATTCTACTCTAAATCTCGTTTTAACTTTATCATTTCACTTAATAAATGTTTTATCTTTCTTATTCAAACTGTGAATAATGTTCTGTAAACGAGTTCATGGCAACAAATCCAATGCATTTAATTAAAAAGTTCTTGTTCAGTAAGCACCACTTTTATTTTGAAACAGACCAGGGGTGAAAACAGACATCTGCAACCTGATTGGCTGAATGTGGTAAGCACCATCCCGGTGTAGCATTAGCCACTGTAGCATAGTGGTGGGAAAATTGTGTTTTATTAAGACAGTCTCTTTTTTTTTTCACCGACGAGGCATTAAATTGAGTTAAGGAGGAAACTGACACCTTTGCAGCCTGAATGGAGGATGCTTTATTTACGAGCCAGTCCATGGGGGAAACGAGTGTATTGCCGGCTGTGCACATTAAAATTCGGACGTAAGATGACAAACGACATAAAACGGGTAATACCGCCATCTTGCGGCCGTTGGGCTATAATTAAACAATAAGGCCAGAGGGGGTGTGGTATAATATGGTCAATATACAGCGGCCAAGGGCTGTTCTTCCGCATGAGGCAATGCAGAGTGCCTGGACACAGCCCTTAGCTGTGTCAAACTATTAGAGAGCTGTTATTATAAACTGGGTGGTTTGAGCCCTGAATGCTGATTGGCTGACAGCCGTGGTATTGCTATTATAAACTGGTTACCAATGTAATTAGAGCAGTAAACATAAATGTTTTGTCATACTAGTGGTATAAGTTCTGATATACCACGTCTGTCAGCCAATCAGCATTCAGGGCTCAAACCACCCAGTTTATAAAAACAGCTATCTCTAACAGTTTGAGGTTGCCAGATTGGGTCATATCAGACCTTACAATCTTCACTTGTGTGAGTGAGCATACAACACAGACTAAACATAATTCATTATTTATGGCTTTATATAGGCTACAACAATAGTTTGGACAAGTACAGTATAGAAAATATGCATTGGAATATAGGAAAATAATTAGGCAATATTTTCCACTATTAAAGGTAGACTCAGCGATTTGATGTAGATGCAGAAATTAAACAGCATAGTGGGTCAATTTCTGCAAACAACTAAGAGCGTTGAGGCTCAACTTCTGTTTTGGAGCCCTGGCTACCACACTGTGAACAGTGTGAAGTGAACCCGTGCACATTAGCAGATAATGTGCGTGACTGTGTGAGAGCGAAGTGTTGCATCTCACTCATCTCTGGTGCTGTCATTTAGCTGAGTGTACCTTTACATTCTACAAGAACCCAGTATGAAACAAGATGGAAAAGATAAAGGTAAAAATTTACAACATATTTTAAATTAGTCAAGCCATAATAAAACATAGTCATCTAAAATGTCCTCACAGTGTTGGTGGTGCACATCATAATAAAAGCTTAGATGACTTCATATCATCCAAGGAACTTAATGAAATCTGCTTCTGAACATTGATAAAACTATGATTACCTTTTTGATCCTGATAAAGGGCATAGAGTGAGTGACAGGGTTTGGGTCAATTCCATTCCGTAGCTTTTCAACAAGGAAAATCAGTGTGCTAACCTGAATTGACTGGAAATGTAATTGACCCCGAAATGGAATTGACCCCAACCCTGGTGAGTGGGTGTGATCGAAAAGCATCTCTGCAGGAATCCCAGGGGACTCATACATTCAGTTTCTCCAGTCTCCACACAGTGTTGACAAATGGTGCTGGCTCAGCTCCTCCTACTGTTCTGAGACATATGATACAATCAACAGGGGCTTGCCACGATTACACCACATCACTTCTCTGTAAAAAATAAGCAATGGAGGAATTGCATCTGTATCTGCATATGCAATCAAGTTCATTTATCTTAGGTAACTTAAAAAAAAAAGAAAAAAAAAGTAACTTAACTTTAGAGATAATTCAAGTTCTTGACACAGTCCCAAAAGTACAATACCTCTCAACATCTCTTTTTTTGCATAGTAGGTAAACACATGCTCTATCCCTCTGTCTTTTCCTCCCAGCACACGTGACTTGAGTGAGTCATTTGAGCAGCTAGTGATTGTACATGTTGGAGATCGACTGCATTGCAGTCGGAATGGGCAAAATCTACAAATCACCTCGCATCCCAGATAGCTACTCATTATATTATGGGTGATCAAGATAAGTGATTCTGTGCCTCGCTTGCTCAAACTGATTCCATCCAACACGCTGATTGTCTCTGCTGTGCACCTGCATCCAAAGTAACTACTCATTATGTGATCAAGATTAGCGATTCTGCACCTCGCCTTGCTCAAGCTGATGGCCCCTTGTCTCTGATGTGCAGAGTGTAGAATGCCCAAGGCTCCGGTATGTAGATGACCCCTCGGTATTTCTTGCGGAGGACCTGGTCGCTCCAGAGACAAGCAACCCAGACGCAGACCAGACCCAGAGCGATGGAGAAACTGTCAATTCAAGTTTATTTTAAAATACATTTTGCTCAGGTCTCAATTCACTTTAAATAATGGGATGGTTTCCCAGAAAAAGATTAATCCTAGTCCTGGACTAAAACATCTCCATTGAACATGGAGTCCTGTGTAGCTCAATTGGTAGAGCATGGTGCTTGCAATGCCAGGGTTGTGAGTTTGATTCCCACGGGGGGCCAGTATGAAAATGGATGCGCTCACTAACTAATCTGGATAAGGGCGTCTGCTAAATAATGTAAAAAAAAAACATTGTTTTTAGCCTAGGACTAGGCTTAATCTGTGTCCGGAAAACCGCCCCTAAATATTCTTTAAAAAAATAGGAACAAACAATGTAGGAAACAGGACTATTATTATACCTGTAGAGCAGGAAGAGCCCATTGCTATCGGGGACAAAGCCTTTACGTTTCTGGTGCATCACTGTGGCCGTCATGGCGAAGAAGGTGAAGATGAAGAGGATGAAGATCTGGCCCTCCGTGATCAGGTACCTGTACAGAACAGAGCTGTGTTCATTAGTGCAAAAAACAGAAATTGGGTTACTTAAGTCCCTCCCTGTTACATTCAGTTTGATGCCTTTAAATGTATTTTCTGTCATTTAGCAGACGCTCTTATCCAGAGTGACATACAGGAGCAATTAGGGTTAAGTGCGTTGCTCAAGGGCACATCGACAGATTTTTCACCTAGTCGGCTCGGGGATTAGAACCAGCGACCTTTCGGTTATTGGCACAACGCTCTTAACCACTAAGCTACCTGCAGTGCCTTGCGAAAGTATTCATCCCCCTTGGTGTTTTTCCTATTTTGTTGCATTACAACCTGTAATTTAAATTGATTTTTATTTGGATTTCATGTAATGGACATACACAAAATAGTCCAAATTGGTGAAGTGAAATGAAAAAAGAACTTGTTTCAAAAAATTCAAAAAAATAAATAATGGAAAAGTGGTGCGTGTGTATGTATTCACCCCCTTTGCTATATAGCCCCTAAATAAGATCTGGTGCAACCAATTACCTTCAGAAGTAACATAATTAGTTAAATAAAGTCCACCTGTGTGCAATCTAAGTGTCACATGATCTGTCACATGATCTCAATATATATACACCTGTTCTGAAAAGCCCCAGAGTCTGCAACACCACTAAGCAAGGGGCACCACCAAGCAAGTGGCACCATGAAGATCAAGGAGCTCTCCAAACAGGTCAGGGACAAAGTTGTGGAGAAGTACAGATCAGGGTTGGGTTATAAAAAAAATATCAGAAACTTTGAACATCCCACAGAGTACCATTAAATCCATTATAAAAAAAATTGAAAGAATATGGCACCACAACAAATCTGCCAAGAGAGGGCCGCCCACCAAAACTCACAGCCCAGGCAAGGAGGGCATTAATCAGAGGCAACAAAGATACCAAAGATAACCCTGAAGGAGCTGCAAAGTTCCACAGCGGAGATTGGAGTATCTGTCCATAGGACCACTTTAAGCTGTACACTCCACAGAGCTGGGCTTTATGGAAGAGTGGCCAGAAAAAAGCCATTGCTTAAAGAAAAGAATTAGCAAACACGTTTGGTGTTCGCCAAAAGGCATATGGGAGACTCCCCAAACATATGGAAGAAGGTACTCTGGTCAGATGAGTCTAAAATTGAGCTTTTTGGACATCAAGGAAAACGCTATGTCTGGCGCAAACCCAACACCTCATCACCCAGAGAACACCATCTCCACAGTGAAGTTTACATACACCTTAGCCAAATACATTTAAACTCAATTTTTCACAATTCCTGACATTTAATCCTAGTAAAAGTTCCCTGTTTTAGGTCAGTTAGGATCACCACTTTATTTTAAGAATGTGAAATGTCAGAATAATAGTAGAGAGAATGACTTATTTCAGCTTTTATTTCTTTCATCACATTCCCAGTGGGTCAGAAGATTACATACACTCAATTAGTATTTGGTAGCATTGCCTTTAAATTGTTTAACTTGGGTCAAACGTTTCGGGTAGCCTTCCACAAGCTTCCCACAATAAGTTGGGTGAATTTTGGCCCATTCCTCCTGACAGAGCTGGTGTAACTGAGTCAGGTTTGTAGGCCTCTTGCTCGCACACGCTTTTTCAGTTCTGCCCACAAATGTTCTATAGGATTGAGGTCAGGGCTTTGTGATGGCCACTCCAATACCTTGACTTTGTTGTCCTTAATCCATTTTGCCACAACTTTGGAAGTATGCTTGGGGTGATTGTCCATTTGGAAGACCCATTTGCGACCAAGCTTAAACTTCCTGACTGATGTCTTGAGATGTTGCTTCAATATATCCACATAATTTTCCTTCCTCATGATGCCATCTATTTTGTGAAGTGCACCAATCCCTCCTGCAGCAAAGCACCCCCACAGCATGATGCTGCCACCCCCGTGCTTCACAGTTGGGATGGTGTTCTTCGGCTTTTTCCTACAAACATAACAATGGTCATTATGGCCAAAGAACATTTCTCCAGAAAGTACAATCTTTGTCCCCATGTGCAGTTGCAACCCGTAGTCTGGCTTTTTTATGGCCGTTTTTGAGCAGTGGCGTCTTCCTTGCTGAGCGGCCTTTCAGGTTTTACTGTGGATATATATACTTTTGTACCTGTTTCCTCCAGCATCTTCACAAGGTCCTTTGCTGTTGTTCTGGGATTGATTTGCACTTGTCGCACCAAGGTACGTTCATCTCTAGGAGACAGAACGCGTCTCCTTCCTTAGCGGTATGATGGCTGCGTGGTCCCATGGTGTTTATACTTGCGCACTATTGTTTGTACAGATGAACGTGGTACCTTCAGGCGTTTAGAAATTGCTCTCAAGGATGAATCAGACTTGTGGTGGTCTACTATTAGTTTCTGAGGTCTTGGCTGATTTCTATTGATTTTCCCATCATGTCAAGCAAAGAGGCACTGAGTTTGAAGGTAGGCCTTGAAATACATCCACAGGTACACCTCCAATTGACTCAAATTATGTCAATTAGCCTATCAGAAGCTTCTAAAGCCATGACATCATTTTCTGGAATTTTCCAAGCTGTTTAAAGGCACAGTCAACTTAGTGTATGTAAACTTCTGACCCACTGGAATTGTGATACAGTGAATTATAAGTGAAATAATCTGTCTGTAAACAATTGTTGGATAAATTACTTGTGTCATGCACAAAGTAGATGTCCTAACCGACTTGCCAAAACTGTAGTTGTTAACAAGAAATTTGTGGAGTGGTTGAAAAACGAGTTTTAATGACTCCAACCTAAGTGTATGTAAACTTCCGACTTCAACTGTAGACCCTAAGATCAATGCACTTGTAGAGATCTGAGAGTATTTCATTGGTATAAGCATGGGGAAATGTCCATCTAGCCTATCAGAGTGCAAGGTGGATCTATTATTATATTGCTTACACCAATCAAATCCTCTCAGATCTCCACAAGTCTACAGGTCGATTTGGGATTGGGCCATACTCTCTCTTTGCCTTGTTCATTGAAATTGACCCAAATTATCAAACCACTTTGAAAACAATGGATGAAATCCTTTCCTGTCAACTCCTACATTTCATATTCTCACATAGGGGAGGTTTCCCGAACACATATTAAGCCTTGCAATAAAAAGTAATTTCAATAGAGATTCTCCACTGAGCTTGCTTTTTAGTCGAGGACTAGGCGTAATCTGTGTCCGCGAAACCATCCCATACAGTTTTGACATGAAGGATAAAAAAGTAATTCAAAATGTTGCCTAAAAACGTACAATGTCTTTCAGTGCCTTTTATTTGGCTTTTAAGTCTGAAAACTTGTCTGATAACTCTTCCAGCATGTTACATTTTAGTAGCATATGGGAGACATCTGAAGGGAAATACTGTAACGCTGCACCATAACCTTGTGAACGCAGCCCATAAAGAACTCTACAGATAGAGGGCAAGTCTCAGGGAGTGAGTTTTGCTGTGGTGAATAATGGACAAGAGTCCATTGGAATCAGAACGTACAATGCATCCCTCCCTCCCTCCCTCACTCCCTCCCTCACTCTCTTCCTCCCTCACAAACACGTGCACGCACGATACACTGACGTGTCCTGCCCTATGCCCAGGGCTAAGTCATTGTGTTCACTCACAGTGGATGCGGAAACAAAACAACCATTCTAGCATTACAGGCTGTGATAGTATGATATGACACTAGAGAGGGGTGAAGAGGCTGACCAATAGTAGACGGCGCTGGGAGCAAGAAGAAACCAAGCAGGGAGCGGCATCCTCTTCTCCTCCTTGATGTGTGTGAAGCAACCAGTGAAGTAGAGGAAGAGGATGAGGAAGAAGGGAACATACCTGTGGAAGAGAAGAGAAAAAAGCACATTTTGAATCATGTTCAATTGTGTTTTTCCCAGGGAAGACTAAATCATTGAAAGGGATTCAAATGCTGGTAATCTGCAAACACATCATGTCAATATATCTATGACAGTCTTCACATCTATGTAATCTTCATATGACATTCACAGTTTGAATGGTATAAATTGATGTTTAACTATGGGCAAGGTGGAATTACTTTTTTCACCTGATTCAGTCATTCAGTACAGTACAGTAAAGATACTTTCGAGCAAACATGTTCCTTACCACATAGAATGGCCAAGCTTTTCATCATAATAGTAAAGTAGCTCAAATGAATCTATCTGTGGGAAAAAGAGGACAGTAAAAGTATATAATTCCTGTAATTACTGTGACGATCTCGGTTCCACAAACGCTGGGAGATGGGAAGCAAGTACAGGCTGATGATTTAATAAATAAAAGACATGGAACAAAACACGGACAGCCTCTGGACAGGGGAAACGAACCAACATCAATGCAGACACGGGGATCACAACTGAGGAACAGACAGATATAGGCGATGTATTTAAACAGTGATGAAGTCCAGGTGAGTCCAATGAAGTGCAGATGTGCGTAAGGATGGTGACAGGTGTGCGTAATGATGGGCAGCCTGGCGCCCTCGAACGCCACGGAAGGGGAGGGGGAGCGGGAGCAGGCGTGACAAATTACCAAAATATAATCAAATCAAATCATGCTAATGAGTACTACAATTTCATATTTGGTCTTTATACGAAAACAAGCCTATCCAATGAGCAAAAACAATGTAAAAAGTTACACACATTATCAGGATAGCAGTAGTACAGTATTCATGGGAGTATGGCAGTCCTTGACTTTCACAGCTTTATGTTCAGCTTTCACAGTGTTATTGACAATCCACAATGTAGTAGGCAGATAGTGGTATGTTATTGTGTGGCGGACACTCATTATCTCCACCCAGCGTTTTACGGCAAAACTGAATGAAATGACTTTGTTACAACCTTGCAATAACATCCTGGCAAAACTGATTGAAATTACATAATAATTCCACGTAAGCCTTAAACTGGTTGTAAAGGTGTAATTAAAACCAGCTTGCCCGCTGGTCAAGACAAGTACTCCTGAGTATGGGAGAGGTATAGAGGGAGATTGGGTGTCATGGTGGAGTACCAGAGAGGCAGGCTTGAGGTTCTTGATGATGGGGTTCTCTCTGACAGACAAGTGGAGCTGGTAGCCACTCAGCAGGAGGCGATGGTTGATGGAGTCACCCACCAGGTGGATGCTGGCGCCCATCACAAAGGTGATGATGCACAGGTACACGGCGGAGTGGGGCAGTGTCTTGGGGCTCCGCTCGATCAGCTAGAGAGTGATGGGAGAGAATTGGGCAGTGAAATTCCTTCTGGAGACAATTTCAACAGGGGGGTCAGTGGGAGATGGCAGTCCAGCAGGGACATAAAGGTTATGTTCTCTGTTCAACTTGACAGGCTGGCACAAAACATAATCTCAATACCACTGTCCAGCCCACCTGTTCTTCAGAAAACTTAATCTCAATTCTGTCTGACTGCCTGTGCTCTTTCAGCTCCCTCAGTCCAACGTGTGTATGGGTTTCATCTGAGACATGACAAATAAAATAAAATAAAATTGTATTTGTCACATGCACCGAATGCAATAGGTGTAGACCTTACCGTGAAATGCTTACTTACAAGCCCTTAACCAACAATACAGAGTAAGAAAATACTTGCTAAATAAACTAAAGCAAAAAAAAAAATTACACAATAAAATAACGAGGCTATATACAGGGGGTACTGGTACCAAGTCAATGTGCAGGGGTACAGGTTAGTCGAGGTAATTGAGCTCATATGTACATGTAGGTAGGGGTAAAGTGACTATGCATAGATAATAAAAAGCTAGTAGCAGTAGCGTAAAAAAGGGGGTCAATGCAAATAGTCCGGGTAGCCATTTGATTAAGTGTTCAGCAGTCTTATGGCTTGGGGATAGAAGCTGTTAAGGAGCCTTTTTGGTCCCAGACTTGGCACTCCGGTACTGCTGGCTGTGCGGTAGTAGAGAGAACAGTCTATGACTTGGGTGGCTGGAGTCTTTGTCAATATTTAGGGCCTTCCTCTGACACCACCTGGTATAGAGGTCCTGGATGACAGGAAGCTTGGCCCCAGTGATGTACTGGGCCGTACGCACTACCCTCTATAGTGCCTTGCGGTCGGAGGCCGAGCAGTTGCCATACCAGGTGGTGATGCAACCAGTCAGGATGCTCTCGATTGTGCAGCTGTATAACTTTTTGAGGATCTGAGGACCCATGCCACATTTTTTCAGTCTCCTGAGGGGGAATAGGCATTGTCTTGCTCTCTTCACGACTGTCTTGGTGTGTTTGGACCATGATAGTTTGTTGATGATGTGGACACCAAGGAACTTGAAGCTCTCGACCCGCTCCACTACAGCCCCGCCGATGTGAATGGGGGCATGCTCGGCCCTCCTTTTCCTGTAGTCCACGATCAGCTCCTTTGTCTTGCTCACATTGAGGGAGAGGTTGTTGTCCTGGCACCACACTGCCAGGTTTCTGACCTCCTCCATATAGGCTGTCTCATCATTGTGTCGTCGGCAAACTTAATGATGGTGTTTGAGCCGTGCTTGGCCACGCAGTCGTGGGTGAACAGGGAGTACAGGAGGGGACTGAGCACGCATCCCTGAGGGGCCCCCTTGTTGAGGATCAGCGTGGCAGATGTGTTGTTGCCTACCCTTTCCACCTGGGGGCGGCCCGTCAGGAAGTCCAGGATCCAGTTGCAGAGGGAGGTGTTTAGTCCCAGGGTCCTTAGCTTAGTGATGAGCTTTGAGGGCGCTATGGTGTTGAACGCTGAGCTGTAGTCAATGAACAGCATTCTCACGTAGGTGTTCCTTTTGTCCAGGTGGGAAATGGCCATGTGGAGTGCTGTAGAGATTGTGTCATCTGTGGATCTGTTGGGGCGGTGTGCGAATTGGGGTGGGTCTAGGGTTTCTCGGATGAGGATATTGATGTGAGCCATGACCAGCATTTCAAAGCACTTCATGGCTACAGACATGAGAGCTACGGGTCGGTAGTCATTTAGGCAGGTTACCTTGGCGTTCTTGGGCACAGGGACTATGGTGGTCTGCTTGAAACATGTAGGTATTACAGACTCGGTCAGGGAGAGGTTGAAAATGTCAGTGAAAACACTTGCCAGTTGGTCAGCGCATGCTCTGAGTACATGTCTTGGTAATCCGTCTGGCCCTGCAGCCTTGTGAATGTTGACCTGTTTAAAGGTCTTACTTACATCGGCTACAGAGAGCGTGATGTTCCATAAAACGAGTAAACGACTGTCTGACCTTCCCATAACTGGCCTGACTGAGTGGAGCTGACATTTGCTTTAGCAAGTTAATGTCAATGCCTTCAAAGTGTCCCTTATAAACTGCCAGTGTGCCTGAAGAGAAACCGATGTTGGAGGGACAGTAGCGTGCCCTCGTCATGTAGCATTCAGCCGGGTTGTCGTGGATTGTGTTTATTAGGCACCAAAAGGAAGAAAACTAACTAGAACAGGGATGGACTACCCGGACTTGTCCAACAAGAAACACTCGTTTTCGTATCAGTTTTGAAACGTCTCGTTATGGTGTGTCTAATAAACACCACCCTGTCTCTGTGTGCCATGATTAGTTACCTTGAGAAGCAGGAAGGGTGTGATGATGTTGTAAGCCATGTGGAAGTAGTCCCCAGCACTGGGTCTGTTCAGGGGGAACCACTCTAGAGGGAGGATGATCTGAAAATATACAGTTAATCAGTTAGAGGAGGGGAAAGCTATACACCACAGGGACATGTAATAAGCATTGTGTTTACTCAGAAATGGTAATATGGTAATTATGTTATAATGACCTAATAATTACTGTGGTTTCTTGGGTGTTGTTGAAACAAGCACGCTACTTGACTTTTGATACTACGTACCTGTAGTTACTATTTGTGTCAAAGTTACCATAAACCACTCATTGTGACCACATACTGTTTTAGTACCAGCCAGAATGATTAAGATGAAATAGGCCATATTATGAAAGTGCTACTGCACAACCTCCGACAACCAATTGAGTTGTAGTCTGAGGGGTTGTCCACCATATAAATACAATTACTAGACCGGACATTGCCATTCAAGTCAATAATACTTTTTCTTTTTCTTTCACTCACCATGACTATGGGCCTCCCTAAGTCCAGCAGCCAGTTCTGGATGGTGAAACTGACCCACAGGTCCAGGTGGAACTTGGGCTTCAGCAGAGACGATTCCATGTCTCTGGACCCATGCCTATTGTGTATAAGGAAGACAAAATAAGATCAATATGGACCCATGCCTGTTGTGTATTAGGAGGACAAATAAGCTCATTATTAAAGTTAAAAGGATTTAATGTGCTCTGACTTTAAATGGAAGGCCTTTGATATTTTGCAATGACATCAATAATAACCCTTAAGCTTTGTGCACAGCTTTGCTCTCTGTAGGGTGCATTAGGTACCTAATATGATTTTGTTGGTTAAATAAAGTATGTATGGTTCAGAGACAGCGTTAGAAGAGTAGGAACCTCACAAGGCAGAGTCAGATTGTTGGAAGGGAGAGATGTGTCCCGAGGGAGGGAGGGCGGATACACAGTATATACACAGGGTTGGGTGGTCTCTCTTCTATACAGTATTATACAGTAGGTCTGCAAAGGCTTTCTCTGCTGTAAGATATTAGTCTGGACTTTCCTTTATGCCCCAGACCATCTGCTGGCATTTTTTAATGCCATCTGTTCGTCTTGGCCCCAACATTAACAAGGCCAACAAAAGAACAAAACAACAGCGCTGCTGTCATCTCTCTCACAAGTTTAGTGTCTCTATTTGGTCATTAAACAAGACACATGCAGTTGAGAGAGAGATCCACTGCTGGCTCTACACATTCCCTAGCAGAACCCATTTGGCCTTAGCTTCCATTCAGCTGCCTGTGTTGGAAGTCTGATTATGGGAGCCTCGTGCACACTGCATGGGCAGATCTTCTAGCCAGAGACAGAGTATGTGGAGCATCAGCAGGGGTTGTGGTGACAAATGAGTGCATGCCCTGATCCTGTGGCAGAGAGGACATCTTCCCTTTCCCAATCCTGGAACTGCCTGGAGAATCAACTCTAATCTCATCCGATTTGTCTCTTTCAAATCCTGAACGAACACACTCCTCCTGCACGCTGGTTTCATAAGGTCAGTACTCCTGAGTGGAGCTAAGAGGAGAGGAGAGGCAGCAGCTGCACTTGGCAGGGCATAGTATCACTTTTCTGTGGGCTATCTTTCAGATTAATGTGACACATTCACTCATGGGGACTGACCCTGTCAATCCCACAGAAGGAAAGGAAACTCCTGCTAATGCGCATTTGAGCACCTACTTGCAGCAGGCCCAATAGGGGAACTATACCTTGGTTAGATCAAATGTATGATACTACACTGAAAAAAATGAAGGTTCTTAAATGGTTATTCCTCAGCTCTTAAGGTTCCTTGGAGAACTCTTGCCCAAGAAATTACCTCTGAGTGAAGTGTGGGGTTCTTCACGTGGCATCTACGGTTCTTCAGAATTCTAAAAGGTTATTGAAATGTATGGAAGCCTGCAGATGTGTCCCTTTTAGCACACAGCAAATTGGCGAGTGTTAACTAGTGTTGATTCTTCAGTGTAACATTTCTAGTGTTGATTCGGGAGTTAAATTAACACTCAGTGGTGTAAAAGAACCCCAGTGTTGGTGTCAATAACCAGAGTTTAACCAAAACCACGCCCATTATTATCATATTTCCCAGCATGCTCTATTGCAGGTAGATTTCTAGAATAGTTTGTTTCAGTATCTTGTTTCATACATTTCTCGAAACTATTCCAATCTCTTACTTGGACTTATTGTACCCGTTGCTGAAATGGTTGTTCCAGTTAGATGTTTAAGGTGGTCTCATATCTTAGTCTTCCCAACCCGGCAATCATTCTGAATGAAGGTTGCGGGTGAATAAAAATTCAAAATGTTGGATATCCCCACTCTGGCTGGATGCCAATAGGAATTACTATTACAATAACTTTGCAAGCCTGCATAACGTAACTTGCAGGCCTGATGTGGCCTGTAAACTATGAGTTTTAGGCCACTATATTAGGGTAAAACTATGTCCTCAAAAGAAATACGAAATATGCATTTTATTGTCTTAGGGCCCGATTCCGACTTTCCTACACACGCCTTTCCTATGCACTTTACAGTAGTTGGTATTCAGCCTTACCTTATTCAGTCGCGTAATGCACTCTGCAGGTGTGGCTACCTTGCGTGCTCTGAATACATTTCATTCAACCACTGAAAACCATCCTACTTGCCGGCCAACAGATTTTCTCGTGGAGTAGGGTTTTCAGTACATTTGTCTTAATCTTAAGCCATCCCTTTAAATAAGGTGTACCTTTTAGTTTGAATTGCGCCATGTGTTGGGTTAAAACTGTTAAGGCTTGGATCTCCGCTCCATAACGATTTAATTAGCCAACATATATATTTTTAAATATTATAAACTGTTAATAATGATCCTCAGCAACAACCACATATATATATGCAAGAAAAAAAAGAAGAAAAAAAACATATGGGGGATTGGAAGTGATGCAGACAATTACATTGATGGAAGTTACAATCTATCTGCAATATTAAAGCTGATCTACCCCCTAAAATAAAATAATAATAATAATATAAATACAACCACATGGCAGCATTTACAAAGGAAGCAAATGAAGGTAAACTTAACAATGTAATGAAATGGAATGATAATGTAGACGATACCAACTGAAGGAAACTAACAGTAAATTGAAGGTTGAATATGTGTTGTTATTAGGCCTACTGACGGTCGATACTGATAGTGGCTAATATTTAACATGATAGAAATAGGAAACAGAGAAAGTTGGGGTAGACTATAATTAAGACATTAAGACAGTCAAGTTGTACATTACAGTGCATGGAGAACGGTGTTATTTCTATTGGAAAAAATAAAGTTGATGCTTTTTTTCACTTGGAACCGGTAGGTTCGCTAGACCTTATTCATGGTTTCCTCGCGCTTAAAGGTGGTGGAATTATTAGGTAATTAAGTCAAGGTCAGAATACGGTGTATCTGTAGACAAACCTCAACCACACCTTCATTTATTTGATTTCCACCCCAAACAAATAGTGGGTGAATAGCATGCTATCCTCATGCTTAAGTTCAAGGTCAGAATACGCATAGAGAGAAAAGTGCATGAAAAGGGAATTACATTCCATTTACGTGTGCTTAACTCGGGTCGGAATCAGACCCGTAAAGAATACAATTTATGACAACATATTCACTTAGGATCTCACTTGGTGAAGGTCACAGGACTGAAAATGAATGAATGCAACAACCATGTCTCTGTCACTAGCAAACACAGTCATGGGTGGTACTGGTAACTCGAAAATCCACTCGAAAAAATTATGCAAATAAGGCTTAAAACCCTACAGCAGGGCTATTCAATTCCGGTCCTGGAAGGCCAAAACATTTCTGGTTTTGGATTTTTGTATGATTCTTAAAAAGACCATCACATTTATGGTTCTTCAGAGACCCTAAAATGGTTCCCTATGGCATCACTCTCAAGAACCTTATTTGGTTCCAACTTGCACCTTTATTTTTAAGAGTGTACTGTATGGCATTATTTACAGACACATGTTAATGATTAGGCTTTAATATGTCTACTTATGAAATTGTTAATAATCGTAATGTTGACATTAACATTTAAGATGTGAGGGGTCATACATATGAAAGGTAGGGGAAGCCAATAAAGGGCAGACAATTCAATTGGATATGAGTTGTTTAGGTATGACTATTTTAATTACATTTTTCAAATGTTATATCAAGAAGTTGTTTTTCAAACCTAGGGAGAAAAGTTGACTGCATAGCATAGCTCTGCCGTTTCCGCATTGATGCGTGCATCTCCCTTCCAACAGAACCATTGAAGATTCTCCTCGATATCACTTCTTTCAGACCCGACTTGGCAGCCACCGTCCCTTTACACTTGGTCAAGAAACTAGATGATCAAAAATGATTTCACAAAGGAAATAGCCATTTGTAGATCTGTGTTAAATAATTGGCAAGTCAACAATCCGAATAACAATGCGACCTCTTCTTTCGCTCACCGCAGCTCTCCTTACAAAGTAGCACAACAATAGAGATTGACAGGCTCAGTGACTATCTGTAACATAATAGCCTTTGATGAGATGGGAGTCCCACACCCTCCAATTGTATACACGATATTCCTCTCCTCAGCATTAGTTGATACAGGCTGTTATTGCCCTCAAAAAGTCTAACCCGTGTCTAGAAGAGAGTTCTGAAATATTATCACACAGTTCGGCTGAGTGAATCTCTTATGAAACGCATGTTCCAGTTCTATGAGTCTGTTTGAGTCTAAAGGGATATTTAAATAAAATGGTTCAGTAGCCTGCAGATAAACCGTTAATCTGTTTTCCCCACCCCCTTTTTATCAGAGGCATAATCTCTGACTTTGGCAGAGTAGAGCAGATAGGATGCAATTTAGGCCGGCCCGGTACATAAATAGCCATCAAACCAACAATGATCAGTAAAATGATCTCTATTATACTGATTATACTATAAAGGGGAGTAGTGGAATCCAGGCTGTGAATGGGACACGTAGCTAGACACTCACAAAATTGTGCAAAAATGATATAAACATCAAATTGGGGGTGCTTCAAGTTGTCCTGTTTCACACATGTACTCTGTGAAATGGAAATGTGTTTTTTTGCATATCGCACTCCTCCTGACACACCCTCGGAGAGGATCAGACATTATTGACAGCAACACTGGAGCAATTAGGGTTAAGTGCCTTGTTCAACGGCAGCTGGACAGACTGCACCTTGTCAGCTCGGGGATTCGAACTAGCAACCTTTACCGGTTACTGGCCCAACACGGTAACCGCTGGGCTACATGCCGCTACCTGCCTGGTGACATCAATAAGAAAGACAATTCCAAACCTCTCTGCCAATAACAGATAGTATTCAGTTTTCCCCTACCCACTCATACCACTCACAGACAGTCCTAGTAAAATTCTTGCTTGAGAAATTGCTCTTTGCTAAGAAGGTATTTTTATTTATTTTTTACCATTTCAATTGAAAAGAATCATAGTAAGGTACTTAATTGTTACCCAGAAATGATATGATATTGAGATTTTTAAAAAATTGGCAACATTGGACCTTAAGGTTTTCAAACAAATGATAATAAATACACAAGGAAGATAGACACACTATGATTGTAGCTACAGTGGCTTGAGAAACTATTCACCCCCCTTGGCATTTTTCCTATTTTGTTGCCTTACAACCTGGAATTAAAATTGATTTTGGGGGGGCTTGTATCATTTGATTTACACAACATGCCTACCACTTTGAAGATGCAAAATATGTTTTCTTGTGAAACAAACAAGAAATAAGACAAAAAAAACAGAAAACTTGAGTGTGCATAACTATAAGTCAATACTGTGTAGAGCCACCTTTTGCAGCAATTACAGCTGCAAGTCTCTTGGGGTATGTCTCTATAAGCTTGGCACATCTAGCCACTGGGATTTTTGTCCATTCTTCAAGGTAAAACTGCTCCAGCTCCTTCAAGTTGGATGGGTTCCGCTGGTGTACAGCAATCTTTAAGTCATACCACAGATTCTCAATTGGATTGAGGTCTGGACTTTGACTAGGCCATTCCAAGACATTTAAATGTTTCCCCTTAAACCACTCGAGTGTTGCTTTAGCAGTATGCTTAGGGTCATTGTCCTGCTGGAAGGTGAACCTCCGTCCCAGTCTCAAATCTCTGGAAGACTGAAACAGGTTTCCCTCAAGAATTTCTCTGTATTTCTGATCAGTTTCCCAGTCCCTGCCGATGAAAAACATCCCCACAGCATGATGCTGCCACCACCATGCTTCACTGTGGGGATGGTGTTCTCGGGGTGATGAGAGGTGTTGGGTTTGCGGCAGACATAGCATTTTCCTTGATGGCCAAAAAGCTCAATTTTAGTCTCATCTGACCAGAGTACCTTCTTCCATATGTTTGGGGAGTCTCCCACATGCCTTTTGGTAGAACACCAAACGTGTTTGCTTATTTTCTTCTTTAAGCAATGGCTTTTTTCTGGCCACTCTTCCATAAAGCCCAGCTCTGTGGAGTGTGCGGCTTAAAGTGGTC